TGAGGTGGATTGATTCAGTGACTGGGATAATTGGGATGGGAGTGTCAGAGACAGTGCGATTGGCACAGGACAGAGCGGAGTTTAGGACTGTTGTACATAGGGTCGCTATGAGTCGCAGGCGAGTCGACGGCACATAACAACAACAACAACAAGTGAAAAGAGAGCAGATAAAAAAGCTAATTATCACTGAGCCATTTTATTTATATGACATTTGATAAAGGACATGACTACACAACAGACAGCAGATCAGTGATTCCAGGGACGGGGGAGAGGAAAGAGGGAATTCACTACAAAGGAGCATTCAGCAATTTAAGGAGGCATAGAAATATTTTCCATCCTGAGTATGATGGAAGTTTCGAGACTGTCCATTTGTCAAAATTCATCAAGCCACAAGACTCTTTTGTTGTATATAAAGGGCCTTTTAAAAAGTTATTTTTAAAACTAAAGAAATGGAAAAAAAAAAACAACTAAAGAAATGGAAGAAAAGATACGGTATGCATACCAACTACAGCAAAGCCAGAATGGCAATAATAACATCAGACAAGGTGAGTCTTCTGTTGTTTTTTGGGTGGTGGTTAACAAAATGGCACTGAATCAAAACAAAACACTGAGTTGCATGTGGCCCACTTCAATGTCTGTTTCTCAGTTTGGCCTTTACAGCTTCTGGCATTTGAAAGGCTGGAGCCATTTATAATTGGAAAATGGGATGATGTTTAAGAAGTCTTTTTATATATGGGCATATGAGAAGAACTGCTGTGCCGGGAAATGGAAGTTAATTCAATCTGAACAGTTTCTGTGAGGCACTTAGGAGCATAGGGAGGGTATTTTTAAAAGATAACAGCTTTGCCTTTTGTCTTAGCACTTTTTATCTTCTCCAAAGGCCAATGAGGCTTTTCATTTCATTTTACCAATGGAGTTGGGGGAAGGAAGAGAGAGAATGTTTGACCCTCTGAACTACGGATCTGTCTGACCATCACTATTCCAAGTAAGGTGACAGAAGAGTAAAATATCACCAGAGCTGAGCTGTGGGCTAGTGGGAGACTCCTGTTCTCCGTGTAACTTAAATTAAGGGTTTTCATTAGCATTAAGTGAGACGCCTGTCTATTTCAGCTAGATGTCAGGCCGGTAAAGCTCTGGTTAACCCATTAAGTCCATCCTGCCTCTACTTAGGAAGAAGAGGAGTTACACCACTCATTCAAAGGCTGCACCTCTTGAGAAGTCCAAATCCACCAGTGGTCTGCTGGAGGAAGACGGGCAACGTTCTCCCTGTGATTTAAGCCTCAAAGACCCAGTGGAGGATCAGCTGAGAGGCTTCTGACTTGATGACTATGAGATTGAGTATTCAAGAAGGAAAAGTAGAAAACAAATATTTCTTAACTTCAGCAATGGGCTCTAGTGTGTCAGAAATTATGAGGATGGCACAGGATAGGGCAGGATTCAGGGTCCCTATAAGGCATAGTCAACTTGATGGCACCCAACAACAACAACAATGGGCAAACTCTGTTCACTGCAAACAAAGATGACTTCTAGCATTTACTATTTATGGATGAAGATCACAGGCTAGCCTTCAGTGCAATTATATCTCAACATAAAGGAAACAAAAATCCTCACAAGTGAACCAATATATGATATCATGATACACCAAGAGAAGATTTAAGTAATCAAAAATTTCATTTAATTTGGATCCATAA